AGAGGTTGTTTTGCAATTAAAAACAAAGGTAATTACTGAGAATGGCTAGATGCCAATGGCTCACACCTGTAATCCTAGCTATTCAGGAGATTGAAACCTGGAGGATTGTGTTTTGAAACCAGCCCTGAACAGAAAAATCTGTGAGAGTTCATCTCCAATGACCCAGCAAAAAGCAGGACTTGAGCTAGTAAAGCACTAGCTGAGCAAATAAACTGAGGAACTGTGAGGCCCTTGAGTTCAAATCCCTACCAAAAGAAAAATTATATACTTAGAATGTTTTTAGGATAATGAAATGTCCTACTTAGAAGTATTCCTATGTTCTCTCTGGAGTCTACTGACTTCTATATTTAAGACATAAACCTTGTTAGTCAGGGTGCTGTTAAACACTGGTTTTAGTACTTACACCTATTCCAAATGGTAATGTTTTGATGCTCTATTTATGTGCCAAATGATTTGTTGTTTTTGATAGAATCTTGATTTATGTGTTTTTGCTTCCTTGTGTTTCTCTGTATAGCATTTATTCATGTTGGCACTTAATAGTTAAAAATCTCCTTTTAAGAGTAAACATGTTAAGGAAATAGGTACCATCATCCTAGGTCATAACTTGAACAAAATAACCACTGGGAGATGGAAAGCATGTGTAGTTTTGTTTTACCTTGGGTTCTTCATGCTTTGTTTAAATTGTTAGTAATTAGAATGGTGTGTTTTGCCTTTGAGGTATTTTTACATCATTGTAAATAGTTGGTTACAAGGTGTTCCACTGTGGCTTTGTGACATCAATACTAGGAATCTTCAGAGCTGAAGTCATCCTAAAGCACTTTATTTAAGGGCCTACTTGCTCTCAAATACTGTGGTAGTTAGCATTTCTGAATTCTCTATTAGTCTGCACCTTAGTCTTGCTTTTGTCATACATTTGAATGAGAAGAAAAGACCATTCTGCCACCTGTCCACATTTTTGAGGCTCTATGAGGTGTCAGCATTTAAGTGAAGAATAATATAGTTTGACATAAGGAACAGGGAGAGAACTCTACATGCACTTATATGTAGCTATACAGACCCAAGAAAAACTTGAAAATATGCTATTTTGTCCATATTTGTTCTCAAGGAATAAAACTTTAAGTACCCCTGACTAGTTTCTCAGAAAAACCTAAGAATAATCTTACAAATCATGATGGTTAGTAGATTGAAGAGCAATAATTTGTAAGGTCCGTGTCTCTGCCACCTCCGCTTCGAGTAAGGGGATTCATGGACTCTCCTGCATCTTGCTTTCCCATCAGGAAATAATTTACTCTTTTATAGCATACTTGTGCCATTTAAACATTGAGTCATTTGTGTAGTAATGTGTTTCTTTCCATTTCCCCTTCCCATCATAATTGCATTAGCTACCTGCTTTTAAAAAATGTGAACAAAGTATTATATCTAATGTAAGACAGATTTGAATTTGATTATATTCATAATGGTCCGTGGGTGGTCCTCTTTTTCTGTTTTCTTTTCCTTTTTTTTAAACAAACCATCGCATTAGCACTATAAAATAGAGAATTATTAGGACCTAACATTAGGTAGCAAATTAGACCGATTGTGTCTAAATATTTTAACACTTTTGGTGCAAAAGTAGGCTTAAGTCATTTTCTTGGCCCTATTCCATCAAAAGAATTACATCCATCTAAGCTGAATGTAATCCCTGGTTGCTGAGGGATGAGTTATTTTCCACATTTTCTTTTAAGACTTCATAAACTTTCTAGCACTACAGAATTAATACTCCTTAGATAACAGATTTGGTTGGTAGTTTTTCTCCTTCAATGTAAAAAAATGTTGATAAGATAAAAATGAGTAGATTCACGTAAGCATTAGAAACAATTTTAATTTCTGCTATAATTTTTTGGGTAAGTGGATATTTGTTGTAGTAGAAGAGAGGTGGAGAGAGATTATGTTTTGGTTTGATGGTTGGTTTTGCTTTGGTCTTCTATGTCCTAAATATATTTGAATAAAGAACATGATATGGAATTAGACTTAAACTTTTGAGCGAATTGTTATTTTTTTTCCTCTCAAACAAGAGTCCATATAGGAACTATAGATAAGCTAGGAGAACATTATGTTCAATTGATGAAGCCAGTCATCAAAGTCCACACACAATGTGAACTTATGTCCATGAACATTTCAGAAACAAACAAACTCATCGATGAATGCTGGGCAAGTTTTAAGGGCTGTGTAGTGTATGTGGAGTTCCTTGTTTAAGTAATGAACAATCTACTCTGTAATTAGACAACGATGAAAGTTACTCCACTCTGTGAATATGCTAATGACTACTAAATAACCCCGAGGCATATCAGGTAAGGATCTTGATTTGTGCACCTAGTCTTTTCAACAACCTAAACAACTCAGAGTGATAAAACTGGAAACCCAGATATAAAACCAAGCTTGAAAACCACTGGCCTAAGAGATAAAAATGTTACCAGTGCTGGGCTTGGAGATGGCCAAAGTAAAAACTAGAATACATGGCTTCATTTAGTAGTTCTTACTGTCCTAAGAGCAGATAGAGAAATGATTGGGTCATACATAAATGCTTATCCTTACACAGAATCTTCTTTGCTTTGCATTTCTAATGTAGAAAGTATCTTCCATTTTTCCCTCTGCACAAGATAATAAAGAGAAATATGTGAGCTTGGCTGTCTGTAGTGTGATACTCAGTGCAGAAAGGTGAATGTTGTTTGCTTGGTTTATTTCCCAGTCCTAGGTATTCCTTCTCTGAACAGTCCCTTCTTTATCCTCATCTTTCTTCTTTTCATTGTTCCTATCCTGTCCAGTAAGATCTTCAAATCTACAAACCACCATTGCTCACAGCAACCCCATTCCTCCAGAGCTACTTGAGCTTTTCATTAGTAGCTTTTCACTGGCACAGCTGGTTCATAGTCTGGGTGATCTAGATCCCTCTAACTTCAGATGATTATAGTTTATTTTCAGCTATTTAGAAAAAGGCTTGACGTTGTGAATCTAATGGCAAGTCCTAATGAGAGCAGGGGCTGTCCATGCTGGACATATTTGTTTAAATAATTTGACAGTTGATAAAGTTTATTATAAATAGCTTGGGCTTATTCAGACCTCTTTTCTTGTTTAGCAAGCCTAGAAAGAATGAAAAGTTTCCCTTGTTTATTAGAAGCAAACATATTTAGATGGAAAGGGAGCAGATAGAAGGTAATACAGCTCTATGCAAGTTCACACAGAAAACTGGTTATCTACATGCAGAGGACTGACGCTACACTCTCATCCCTCACCTGTAGCAGTACCAACTGCAAAGGAGCAAAGATCTGAATGTAAGACTCTGGCTTTGAAACTACCACAGGAAGATATAGGGAAAGCCCTGGAAGATAAAAGTACAGGTAATTCTTTTCTGATGAAGACATTGTAGCTGTGGAAGTAAGCAAGAAAGGACACATCAAATTAAGAAGTTTTGGCAGGCAAAAGAAACAATTACCAGAACTAAGAGACACCCCATAGAATGGGAGAAAATCTTTTCTACCAGTTCAACAGATAATGGATTAATATGTAGGATACATGAAGAGCTTAATAGATTAGCAATAGAACAAGTAATACAATTAATAAATGGCAAACAGACAGTTCTCAGAAGGAGAAATATGAATGGCTAATAAGTCCATGAAGAAAGCTCAACCTCCACAGCCATAAAGGAAATGCAAATAAAAATAAGTATATGTCATATACATCTTAAAGTTTCCATTTCCTAAAACAAGTTAGAGAGTCTTAGACATTCTTGTCATGGAGGAAAAGAGAGAGAATGGAGACCAGGAGCACACAGCAGAGGAAACAAATCTGCCTATCATTCAGGCTATAACTGAAGGAAAATCTTTATAAAGATAAGAGACTGGGGCTTACTCAATGGTAGGTTCAGCAGCAAATTAGAAGGCATCATCAATGTGTTCATTCAGTTTTGTAATGAGTCTTTACATATATCTTCAGAAGGACTAAAGTTGGTATCTGTGTTGCAAAGACTAAAATTGGTGATACATGGAAAACTGGGGCTTTGAGAACTATTTGTGGGAAAAGATAAGGAGAAACTACTACAAACTCAAGTCGGTGGTAATTGCAGCACATTTCAAGCTGAATGATTATGAAAACTAATCTTCTTGAAATGTCTAAGGAAACGATAATGTTGTCCATCAACACTGACAATCTATTCTATGTCTGCATGGCTGGGAAAGGACAAAGAGAGGATTCTTTCCAAGGCAGAGCCCAGTGTGGAGCCTGTTCTCTCTTGGCTCTTCTTTCTTCCTTTCTTCCTTTCCTCCTTCCCTTCCCTTCCCTTTCCCTTTCTCTTTCTCTTTCCCTCTCCTTCCCTCCCTCTCTCCCTCCTTCCCTCCCTCCCTGCTTACCTTCCTCTCTCCTTTCCTTCCTTCCTTCCTTCCTTCTTTCCTTCCTTCCTTCCTTCCTTCCTTCCTTCCTTCCTTCCTTCCTTCCTTCCTTTCTCCCTCCCTCCCTTCTCTTTCTTTCTTCCTTTCTTCTCTTTCCTTCCTTTCTTTCCTTTCTTTCTCTATTCTTCTTTTCCAGTGTGGCTGTCAGCTGGCTCATATGTACTAGAATGCATGTGGAGCACCAGTGTGAGCAGTCTGCTGTCCTCATTTCTCACCTTTGTTAAACAATACCCAGAATATTTTACCCTGTTGCCACCATGCAGTTCATAGCAAATCACTTGTGATAGGTCTCAGCCAGTGCCATTTCCAAAGCTAAGCTTCCTTCTTGGCCCAAGTTGAGAAATACTGGGAATTCTCTGTGCCGTATTTTCACCAGGAAATAAAAACAATAAACTCTTCGGGCTATATTTGGTGATGAGTCCCCACTGCTATGTGTTTTCATGATATGTATTGTATCTTATTCCACAGAACGTGGTAAACTACCCCCATGGTGTGGCATCTAACTCACTCCTGTTCCGATTTTAGTACAGTTACTCCTTCAACCTGAATGAGAATTGTCGCTTCTTACCCTTGTAGACAACATCTGGAGAGGATGTGCGAGACTTCACCAAGGTGCTGAAGAACAAGTTCAGGTCAAAGAAATACTTTGCCAAACACCCTCGGCTTGGTTACTTGCCGGTCCAGACAGTTCTCGAGGGGGACAACTTAGAGACGTGAGTTCAATTTAAAATGAATATGTATGATATTGTCTCTATCTGTTAGGTGGTACTGGGAACTTTACTGAGGGCCTTGTACTTGCTAGGTAGAAGCTCTACCCCTTGAGCCATGTTCCTGTCCTTTTGCTTTTAACTTGTTTTTCAGGTACTGTTTTATGCATTAGCCAAGGTCTGCCTTAGATCTCAATCCTACAACCTCCTCTGAAGCAGCTGGGGTTACAGGCATACATGACCATGCCCCACCCATGGCTCTTTTATATGACAATTAGCAACACCAAAGAGAAATCATTTGATATCCAAAAGATGTGTGTCCTGGTAAAAATGTTCATTTTATAAGAGGTTGAGGATACAATTAGTTTTTTTTGGGGGGGGGGTCCGGTCATGGGGCCTGAACTCTGGGCCTGGGCGCTGTCCCTCAGCTCTTCAGCTCAAGGCTAGCCCTCTACCACTTGAGCCACAGCGCCACTTCCGGCTTTTTTCTTTTTGTTTATGTGGTGCTGAGGAATCAAACCCAGGGCCTCAGGCATGCAAGGCTCTACCACTGAGCCACCTTCCCAGCCCCTACAATTAGTTTTTCAGCCATGAGTTTTCATTATTTTTTTTGATGATGGCACAACTGAACGTCCAGGCCTAACACCTTGAATGTTTCTATATTGGTCAACTCTTGTTCTGGTTCATCTTTTTTCCTTTTAAAAATACTTTCATCTGGAGTGAACAAAGGAAGGCATTAGCAAGACTCTGCCTCAAAAGTGAATGAAGGAGGAGGGGAGGGAGGAGGGGAGGAGGGAAGGGATGGGAGGGGATAAACAAAGGAAGGGATAACAGTGCTCCATAGGAAATACACTCATTACCTGGCTCACTCGTGTGGCTCACTCATGTAACTGTGACCCCTCTCTACAGTACCTTTACAATAAAAAATATCTATTAAAATAAAATGTAAATGAAGGACTAACTACAATAAATGAACAAATAATAAAAGTAAAACAAAATAAACAAACAAGATAATGAATGCATAAGACCAGCCAGGTGCCAGCAGCTCACACCTGTAATCCTAGGTACTCAAAGGCTGAGATCTGAGGTTTCTGTTTTCAAGCCAGGCCAACAACAAAGCCAAGAAATTTTCATCTGCAACTAACCTGCAAAAAGCTGGAAGTGGAGATGTATCTCAAGTGGTAGGGTACCAGCTTTGAACAAAGAAGCTCAGCAAAAATGTGAGATCCTGAGGTCAAGCATCATTACTGGCGTGCATGTGTGTGTGTACATGCACCTGCATGCGCACGCACACACACATACGTCAAATACCAGCATCAGTACGCCTGCCAAGACCATTCTCTTGGGCTTCATGTGGAGAAAATGAGCTGGTATTGCTACTTGTCCGCAGGGTGGCAGTTAGAGAACAATAAAGTTTTGGCAGAAGAAAAAACCCTCAGATGAGCATAAAGCCTGAAATTTTCTATTTCATGAATAGAGAAAATTGCAGTATATGAGTATGGATTGAGTGAAATTTTTGCCAAGTAGAACTTTCTTTTAACTTTCAAAATTCATAGTTCATTTTATTTTGTATGTGAAAAACAATCAGAAAACGGTAATGATGTCATTTGTTCGGATGATCTATGCTTTATAGATGTCAAAATAGCAAAATAGATGATTTGGCCTACTTTCTTTCTTAAAGACCAAGAACTTTATGTGTATTTCTCTTTTACATGACTAGGTTCATATATATAATACACAACTAGAGCATGAAAAGCAATTCAACTTTTCCAATAGTTAGTGGACATCAGACTATACACTACGTGTTCCTGATTGTTTCTGTGTTATACTTTGCAGCAGATTTTATGAAAATGATATTCCTTTAAGGAGAACTATTTAAATAACTTTTGGAAAATCAAATGGTTGGTTCATTTGTTTGCTTAATGAATATGCTTTTTGCCTTTTTCTTAAAAGGTTGTATGCTAATCATTATTTGTTTTAGTACCACAAACAGTCTTAACTGTGCTGAACACCTTATGAAAAATTGTTACTTCTATCTGTATCAGAGCCAATTAACCTTTTGGCTGGCTATTTGGAGCACAGAAGTATGCTTTAATTTATGAGATGATTTGATAAATTTGAACTGAGCTATGTGCTTTGCACTCTTTGATACACCATTGACACCTGTGTCCCAAATATCTACAAGGTTACTGTGAAGCATGCAGAGAGACACACATTTGATGTTCCTTTTACACATTTTTATTAGGCCTCTTGATGTCAAAATAGTCATTGATATCAAGCATTCAATTCTGAGTGACTCTTTTAGAGGAAAAATTAACAGAGAAGAAATACCAGAAAAATGTGTGCTCCAATTTTGAGGCATAAGGTGTAGTGCCTCACCTTGCTTAATGTAAATTTTCAATGAAAAGGAAACAAGGGAAAGAAAGAAGGAATTATAGGCTTTGTGGCACATGCTTGTAACCCAGCACTCAGGAGGCTGAGGCAGGAGGGTTGAATGTATAGCTTGGGCTGCATAAGTAAGGTCCAGATTAGCTTACCTGGCCACATAGGGAGACCCTGTCTTAAAAAGAAGGAGGGTGGGAGGAAGGAAGGAAGGAAAGAGAGAGAGTAAGAGAGAGAGAGAGAGGAGAGAAGTGAGGGGAGGGACGGGAAGGGAAGGGAAGGGCAGGGAAAAGAAAGGAAAGAAAAGGGAAAAGAAGGAAAGGGATTGAGTCAGATGCCAGAGCCCTACTGGAAAAGATTTATGGATTTATGGGGTACTGGATATAATGAGTGGGTTTTCTTCATTTTAGAATCCTAGCTGAAACTCCAGATTTGTTATGGTTCATTTTTCTGCTGAGTCTTTTCTGGTACAGGTACACTTAATCTTCTGGTGTAACAACTTGTATGAGTAGTTAGTTAAAAAATATTGATTTTCTTTATTCTCCTATTTGTAGGAGGAATGCATTAGTGAAAAGCCAGTGAAGCGGTAAAGGGCTTGAAGTTGTTTATGGGGCCTATTGCATTTTATTTGGCCTCTTTTTGCCTTTATCCTTGCAAATCGCAATGTTTTATCCTTTGACCACTAATTATATGGGCATTCATGAAAAGGATTTATGAGTGAATGAGTAATTACTAAAAGGAGTAAACATATCCATGATAACATTTATTCATTTAATTTTATAAGTATATATGCAAACCTTTCTAAATATAAGCAAGTAAAATTAGAGAATGTACTGTTAAAAATAATAAACCTGACAAACTAAACAAGTGGCAACAGCTATTTGAGAGTCATGAGAAATTATTGGCTAAAAAATTAGGTTTGTTTCCCTGAAGATTAAAGAAAAAAAAAAAGTGAAATAGCTCCATCTCTGGTATAGCACAGGTAAGTTTCATAGCTTCCTAAAGATCTGAGGAAATGTAATTGTGAGGTGGGCACCCTGGATTGGAGGCAGGGACCTGAAAGTCGAATGAGGCCATATACAGAGTGTTTGATGGTCTCAGAGCAGGGGGAGAGTTTCTGGGCATTTTTCAAAACCTGGATGTATGATGGCTGGGAAACAAGGCCGGGAAGCTAAGCACAGTGGAAAGAATGAGAGCGGAGAAAGCAATGGGAGCCAGACCACAAAGGATGAGCCAGGTGTCTTGAGAGAGGATTTGAGGAGCCCGGGAGAGTTCCTCTGGAAGAGCAATGCTGGAACCCTAGTAAACTGCTATGGAACAAGGCAAATGGTGAAGATGAAACACAGAAGTATAAGCAGGGGACTGCTGGGAATTGAAGGCACCGAAAGAAGCACTAAGCTCATAGGGATTGGGCTATGTTTCATATAAGAATTATAATTAGTAGAGTTGATCCCTTGCATATTAGAATGGGATGCATCAAACCACCCTGCTCAGCCACCACACACAATGCGTCTGAATTATGACATCTGGGCTAACACAGTTTAGTCTTATCATTATCTATCTCTATGACTGATTGGTTAAGGGATGGATTGGCTAGTTCTAGGAATAGAACCTAGGCAAGTGTTGTATCACTAAGCCACACCTCTAGTCCTGACCTTATTTTCAACCCCATTCAGTTGTAGGTTCTAACTGTCCAATGCCTTGATTTTTCACTTGAGAATTAAGTGTGGAATCTCATTACTTGATTTTTTTTCCCTGCAAATCAAAATGCTCTGAATTCAAGGAAGCCTGTTGTTTGATTTTTTTTACATCTGTTTCTCAGAAATTTTCCATAACAAATAAGCTGGAAATATTTTTTAAAACTTTACTTGTTTTTTGCCTTTGCCATTTTTATCTTCATTCATAAATGATTTTTCTACTGACTTTACAGAGACCAGTCAATCAAGTTTCCACAAAGCTTTTTCAAGATCCAGGACAATAAAAAAAAAATATATATATATATATATATATATAAAAGTACAATTTTTCTTCTGTGTTTCAGGCTTGTGTTAAGTTTTGAAGTTCAGAAATGATCCCTTATAATGGTTCTGGTTCTAGAAAGTAAAGCAAACTTGTCACCTCCCACTTCACATCCTTGTGTCAGGCTAATGAAAAGTACTCATGAGATGTGGTATAGAATACTCTGTTGTTTGATTATTTCTGTGTCTGTTTCACTCATGTACAATTAAGTACATTCACAGAATATGTAGTCTGGGAAACACAGTGCATGCATGCCCATTTTTGACAGACCATTTGGGAGGCTTAGTTTTTCCATCAAGTAAGAGAGCTTCCCATCTCTTTCTGGTCTTTGCCACACACACACACACACACACACACACACACACACACACACACACACACACACACACACACACACACACACACACACACACACACACACACACACACACACACACACACACACACACACACACACACACACACACACACACACACACCTGGCACTTCACTGTAGGAGGTGATGAGATCATTAACCTTTTCTTAAGTATGTACACATCACAGAAAAAGAATCAAGGAAGTATAGAGTCATTTTGCTTCAGTCAGCATTAGCTTTTGCAGGAAACTTTAATGAAATAGACAACTAATTATTTTTGAATATGTTTAAAGTTCAGCATTCATTTGTTTACCCCAGCTCCTTCCCCATTAAGTTAGGGTTTGGATTTGTTTCACATTTGGAACGATTGTTCTCAAAGATGTCTCATGGAGACTGGGGACTACTGAGAGAGGTACAGGGGGTTTGGGTTTGTCGCCTGTGCAATGATCCAGCCTTAGACAAAGTGCATGGTTCAAGCAAAACACATTTTCCCATGTCCATTTTCTAGATTGAACCACTGGGTACGGCTGTGTTGGATGAGTGCGTGTCCTTCTCAGCGAACTTGCTCTCAGTGTACCGAAGTGCTGGGGTGCTTCTGGCCAGATGCAGGGCGAGGCCTGTGGCTTGCAGCTGTTTCCCCATAGATCTGTGCAATTGGCTTAATTGACTTCTTTGGGTACATTTGAGCTTGAAGTTGTACACAAAATATTGGATAAAAAATCAGAAAAAATGTGTTACTTCAGCTCTGCCATTACTATACACACACACACACACACACACATACACATACATATATATCACATCACCTTTTATTATATTTCTTCTCTAGGAAAGAAATAAAAAAAATATGATTGCATCTCCCCTAAGAATACTCTAGAATGCCACCTTTAAAATTATCCTATCATTTTGAGCAATTTTAGAACATTCTACTCTGTATTGCTAGCCTGATAGTAACAAATATTCTGTGAAAAGGGTCAAACGCCCCTTCCTCCTCAAAGGCTCCCCTGCCCTTCCCAAAGGACTCTTGACATCAGAGCATCTTCTCTAGAATAAGTGGTGACTTCAGTTGCTTTCTTATTTCACCATGGTGAATGGTCAGGGTAGCCACCTGTGAGTGGAAAGCAACTGAGCATCCTCTGCCCCCATTCCCCTCCCCCACATCTGTGTCTGGAATTGCTCTAAAGTGTTTGTTCTGTGGCTTTTGTCTCCCTCTCCCCTTTCTACAGTCCTATCACCCTCATCAGTATGTGGCCAGAGCACTATGAGTGAGTATTCCCAGCCCTTGTGCAGAAGGGTGTTCTGAGCAGGTGTACTAGCACTGGGGTGATTACTTAATTCTTATCTGAAGTACTACCTCTGCATTCTGGGTAACGATTCTGGTGGTGTGTTTGCATGGCGAATTCATTATTTAACTAAACTAACATTCCTGCTAGTCATGTTTACCAATGTCTGGGCATAAATATAGTGTTTTTGTTTGTTTTCTTTTACAGCCCCTCACATTCCCCCCAGCTATTTCATGATGACACTCACTCAAGAATAGAGCAGTATGCTACCCGGTAAGAAATGGATGGGACTTTTTGCACTGCCATCCAGAATTGATCTATTTGTGTATGAATCTGATACAGTTAACATACCTTTATGGAAAGAAGTTTGGCAGGAATCTGGGCCATCATCTTTTCATGGGGTAATTTCACGTTACCAAGCACATTGCTATTTATTCTGAGCTGTAAATCTCAGCAGGCAGTGATTACAGAGCTCATGAGAACCCAGACACTCTACAGGCAGGATTTAGATAATGTAACCTAGTTTCAGTGAATGGAAACAGGGATTGGAAGTATTCTCAGGAGATGGTGCACATATGAATTACAAACTGTAATTAAATTTATGCTAATGTTTTATGAGCGAGGCTTGTTTTAGCATCTCCAAACAATAAAAAAAAAAAACAGACTGTTCTGTGATCCTTGTAAACCAACTAGGTCTAACAAATGCTAGTTAAGCATTATGAAAATAATAACATTCGAAGTGAGTCTAAGTTAACAATTTTTGGACAAAGGCATATTGGGGCTGATGGGAAAATCTACTAAAAAGCATCGGCAGGGAAAGAATGTGGCTTGTTTACTGCTCCACAGGAAGGGGTGTGAAGAGTTGAGAGAAACTGCAGTATAACTCTGGAAGGCCCAGGTACCAAGAGGCTTGGTCCCATGGAAAAGCCAGTCTTGAAACATGAGACAATATCATTGGATTTGTGTGCTAGAGGGTTGGGAGATCAATGAGGAAGAATTGGTTCATCAGGAGAGTTTCTAAAATGATGTAAGATAAAATTGCCTTCCACACTTGAAGGTAGTGATAATAGAAATATAACTCAAGGTCTCCTGTTTTGTCTGAAGTCTCATAGTTGAACAAATGACTGAGGATGTGTTTCTAGTTGATCCTGTTTTATAGGACCACATTTTCTCACCTCCTTATTTTTATTTTTCAGCCTGGCCCAGATGGAAAGAACTAACGGGTCTTTCCTCACTGATAGCAGCTCTACCACAGGAAGTGTGTAAGTAAATCATGAACCTAACCCAGTCCGGAAAGGCTACTGCTTGTATTATGGATGTCAGAAATAATCTTCATGGTCTATGGCTCTGAATTTGGATCCCAATCAAAATTGATAAGTGTGGTTCCAAGAATGTCAGCATAGATTTTATGCCCTCAAGCCATGATGACATAAACTGGATATGTTTATTTGCTTAGTTTTATAGAAGTTAGGGGAGGGGGGGTCCATGCTGGTCAGCTAATCTATCAGTATAGGATTGTTTTATTCATGCTAATTCTACAAATGTAGGATACATGCTTTGCTTGCAAAATCCTTTCTTTAGCTTGCTTACTATGTCCATAATCTCTGCATTTAGTAGTACTGGGCCACACATACTGGACACATACCTTCTACTCTTCTTTGAAAAAGAACTTCCTTGCAAATATTTTCTTTTATTGGGAGCTGGGAAAAGCCTCATGGCTTTAGGATACCTTTAAAAAGCTTTCCAGCCAGATGCTTTATTTCTGATTTCCTCATTTGTGTGTATTCAACTTGGTTTTAGAATATGCTTGGCAAATAATTTATCTCTGATTACCCCACTCTTGTGTGTCGTATTTCCTTTGGAAGTTTTCAGGGCCTTCTAATTCACGTAAATTCAGAATTGGCATATAAAAGGTTTCAATAATGTCAAGTTTATGTGACTTGTAGGTTCATTGGGGTTTGGATCTATCTGGTGGGAAGCTATTAAGTGGGAAAATGATAGAACATAGCATAGCACCGAGGTAGTTTTAAATAACACACTATGGAAAAAGCCAAGTAGAAATAACAAACACTTTAATATAGAATACCTCCTCTTTTGTATTTTAAAAAATAGTTTATCATTAAGCTTATAAATAAAAGCTCTCAATTTTTAATATCTAGCATTAGTATTTCAGCACTTGACAATGATATAGTAATATTTTATACTTTAAAAAATTTTTTTTCAGGCACCACAAATCTGAAACAATGTCGAAATTAAGATTAGAATGTATTTATAATGCTTATTTCCTAATGCGCATCTCATATAAACTGACTAAATACTTTAAATATCTTTCAAATCAACATACTTCCCACCAGAATTGCTAAAGAATTACATGAAATAAAGTAATTAAGATCCATATCTTTCATCTTTAAAATACATTTGTCTTGCTGTGTGGACAGAGTATAGGCAATGTGCCAGCCTACTTTATCCTGCCTTCAAATTAGAGTGAGTGCTAGAGGTAAAGTCAGCACAAATGTTTCAGAAAAGACAAAATAGCAATGAGATAATGAACAGCTGAATGCAACCTGACATACTATCATTAAATGTAGTAATTCATCCATTGAATAAATATTTGTTTTATACCTACAGTGCAGCCATGTGCTAAAACTGATTATAAGAGGCAGTTGTTACCTGTTTCAGAAGTTTGTAAGACATTTGCAAAGCAGATCCTGTATTAAAAATTAATTTGTGGGCTGGAGGTATGGTTCAAGTGGTAGAACACCAACCTAAGCAAAAGAAAAAAAAAAGGAAAAGTACAGAGCTCTGAGTTTTAACCCCAGTACCCCCCACACAATTGATCCATACATATGTATATATAGTTATAATCAAATAAATTATATTAAAGGAAAAAGAAAGGTAATCCTTAAAGCCCATTATGTCCTAGTTATTTTATTTCATTCCATTCATATTACCTAGGCTCTTGGAGCTATTTAGTATATCTGTCAGGTGGTATGCAACTGTGTGTGTACCTTCAGTCATATCATTAGCCTGAAATTGCCACAGTAAAAGTATGAGCACAGAATGACTAATTAAGGCCTTTTGAGCCTTTTGGAGCATGTATTGCTCGCCCCTCACATGGCCTCCACAGAAAGCTGCCCAGAGGAGAGGAAAAGTGGGCGCCAAGCCTCCCCGTCAATCTCTCATCCCAGACACCATCGATGTCCCTTAAGAAAGATAAGCAAAAGGAGCTAATGTTTTCAACTATTTGTAAACATGTCTATTCTTTTATTACCTAAGGTCAGTTTTCCAAAAATGTGTGGCATATGAAATAATAGATAATTTTAAAAATTAAAAGAATGAAACTTTGGGATAGTTTATATTCCAAAATCATGAGAAGCTGGATCAGATCTGTGGTTTTAAAAGATTTCATAATCTATGGTCTTTGCATGTGGCAGTATTGAGTAAGGTATCATGAAGGGCAGGGAAGTTGGTGATGGTGGATGGGATCAGGAAGTGGCCAGTTCTTCAGCCCATCTCAGGAGAATCTGCTCTTTGGGATGATACATTTCTCTTTGAGTTCCTAACCCCTTTTCTGCTCAGAAATTAGAATGGTTATGGCAGGAATTGGTGCCTTACACTCATAATTCTAGCTAGCTACTGAGGGGGCTGAGATCTGAGGATCATGGTTTGAAGCCACCCCACACAGGAAAGTGGATAAGACTCTTATCCCCAGCTAACCAGCAAAAAGCCAGAACGGTAGGTATGGCTCAAGTGATAGAATACCAGCCTTGAGCAGAAAAAATTAAATCAAAGCACCAGGACCTGAGTTCAGGCCCCAAATACCACAGAGAAAGGAGGGAGATTGGGAGGGAGTGGGGAGAGAAAAGGAAGAGGAGGCAGAGAGGGAGAAGGAATGGACAGGGAAGCATATCAGCATGTTTGTGACTCTGATACTTGGGACCATCAAGATTTTAACTCATCTTTTTAGTTTGTTACTGGGAAAGGTGACAATTCAAATGATCTTAAGCAAAAAAAAAAAAGAAGAAGAAGAAGAAAAGGACAGGACACCAGTGGCTCACACCTGTAATCCTAGCTAATCAGGAGGCTGAGATCTGAGGATCACAGTTTGAAACCAGCCCCAAGCAGGACGTTCATGAGACTCTTATCTCCAATTAAACACCAGAAAACTGGAAGTGGCACTTTGGCTCAAAGTGGTAGAGTGCTAGCTTTGAGTGGGAAAAGCTCAAGGTCAGTGCTGAATTCAAACCCCATGACTGACACCCTGCCCCATGAAAAAGAAAGGAAGGAAGGAAGGACGGAAGGAAGGAAGGAAGGGAGGAAGGAAGGAAGGAAGGAAGGAAGGCAGGGGCTTAGCAAATTTCCACAGTACTTTTTCTTGAATTTTCTACTTTACCCCTAGGCCCCTCTTGTTTGTTGCTTGTTTCGTTTTGTTGTTATTGTTTTGTTTTGTCATGTCAACCTTGTCTGTGAAGAACATCATTAGGTTTCTCTTGCATAATAATAGTAAAGATAGAAAAGCAGCCACGCCCCCCTCATTGGTATAGAAAATGCTGAGAGCCAGGCACCATGCTCAGCATTTTACCTGTCTCCTGAGGAATTATCCTACAAACCCTGTGAGATGAGACCATTGTTCACATTGTTGGCACCATTTTACAGATGAGTAAAAGGAGTCTGTGGAGGAATGAGAGCCTGCCCAGCATCTCATAGTTAAGAAGTAGAGCCCCACGTCCCAAGCTGTAGGTATGGCCGTTCCTGGTCTCAGCATGGTGCTGCCTGGGAAGGCATTTCTTTTCCATGGCATTCCTTTTCCATGAAGCTGCTTGCTTCCTTGTCCTGCTTCTGAGCTCAGGAGCTGCTGATTCCTTAGCCTAGCATGTGAACCAATTTCCCAATTTTTTACCCCCACTTCCCCAATTCTTAATATTCCCTATTTTCTTTTTTTTTTTTGGGTCCGGTCGTGGGGCCTGAACTCTGGGCCTGGGCACTGTCCCTCAGCTCTTCAGCTCAAGGCTAGCGCTCTACCACTTGAGCCACAGCGCCACTTCCAGCTTTTTTCTTTTTGCTTATGTGGTGTTGAGGAATCGAACCCAGGGCCTCAGGTATGCAAGGCAAGCGCTTTACCACTGAGCCACTTTCCCAGCCCAATATTCCCTATTTTCTCTGAAAGTCTGACTATCACCATTTTAAGAGAGCATTATGTTTTGAAGATGCTAAGTAGTTTTTGAAGGAAGAACTGAGCAAACCCATTGCAAAGAAGAACAGCACCCAAGATGGTCCTAGAGCAGAAGCTAGAACCAGAGATAGTAGTCCCTTAGTCCATTGACATGGATTTACCTTCCGACCCTATTAGAAGGAAGGATCGATTGATTGATTGTACAGAGGCTAAATGTGGTTTCACACTAGAGTTGTTTGCAAATCTTTAGCCTAGAACAGAGCAACTCTTAACAAGAAAGGAACTTTTTTGTTGTTATTTTTGTGTCTTGTCTCCTTCCAAAAGGTCATTGAATGAATCATGGTTCTTTTGTCATCTGCTAGGCACTAATTTTGTAATCTAAATAGTATTTACTCTGCATGACGAATAAAGTGAATTATATTCCATCTAATGGAGTTTCTTAGTGCAGACCTACATTTTAAAAAATATTTTCTGCTTTAACACAAAATACCCCATTGATGTTTAATGACCTTAATCTAGTACATCAAGTACTGCCTACAGAAATTGCACTGGGGTTTTACGACATATAATTAAGAACTGTGATGTATCTATTTTTATATTTAACTTTAATCTTATGTGACAAACACATAAGATTAGAATTATATGTTACATAAAATTATTTTTAAGTTCTTTTAAAAAAAAACCTTAATTATCTTCCAGACACCTTAATGACGAATGCAGTATTAGTGGCAATGATAATTATAATAACAGATCCCACAAATGGCACAAAAGAAATGAATCTACATATACATTGCCAACAAATGCATCCTGAATCTAACTTTGACTCATTTCATGGTACTGAAACTTTAAAACAAAACATTTTGTTTATGTTGATAATGAATGGTGAATAAGTGAATCTCAGGGGTCAGGTGCTAACAGTAATGTTCCGAGAGATAAAAGGTCAGAGGAACTCTGTGCCAAAAGCTGTGGTTGAATCACTGCCATGAGACCAGCTGGGTAGTTTCTGGGGTCCAAGTTCTCTTTTTGTTATTGATGTCCTTATGTTACTTCTTACAAGAAAAGTCCCAACTTGGCTTTGTTCTTTCAGATATACTGGCACAGGTCTGTAATTAAACTGTGAGGATCTCTTTACCTCCTATTTATCCCAACACCTGACAATACCGTCTACTTCTGTCCTCTTTTGCATGGTCCTGACTCTTTCTTTGATTTGCCAGGTGGACCAAGTATTTAACCTGTATAATTTACTCACTGGGACTTTGACATTGCCATCATCTTTGAACATAGTCTCCTGTGGACAGAAGGAAGCTATGTTTCAGCTTTCCTTTACTATTTTGTTTTGATTTCTGGTCAGTTGCTGATGATGCTTTATCCGTAAAAGTATAGAAAATCTACTGGAACATGTATACCCACATACACACCTATCTTTTTTTTTTTTTTTTTTTGCTATTCCTTTATAGTTTCTGTACTCAGGTTGTTTTCAGTTTGAGAAATATTTACAAAATATTCTGGCTCTTGACCATTTGCTGAGGGTCTCAGATTTTGCTGCATGGGCAACTTAGGATCTTTGGGTCTGCTTTCCAGTGCTGCCAATCTTCACTAGTCACATGACCACTCTGCAGCAGTGACATGACCATTTTCTCCTCTGCTGGTCTTTTAAACTAAGCATGGGATTCTCATAGAGGCTCTGTCAACTTGTGTGTGTGTGTGTGTGTGTGTGTTATGTCTTCAGGAAAAAGAATCAAAGGATGATTACATGGCTTACTTCACCCCTAATCCTGCCATCCATGTGCCCTATGTACAGTTTCTAAATCTGTATAATAGCAAATATATATGTACATGAGTAGCTATATGTATGTACAAGTGTGTGTGTGTGTGTGTGTGTGTGTGTGTGTGTGTGTGTGTGTGTGTGTGTGTGTTTAAGAAAAGAGAAAGAGGGGAGAGAGTGGAGGTAGAGAGCAAAATGAAAGAAGGAAGTGAAATCTATTACATTGGCTGTTCTGTTCTGGCACACTCTCAAGTGTAGCACTCATTTTTCTCCCTGGCTTGATCCTCCCCCCCCCTCTCTCTTCTCTCTCTTTCTCTCTCTCTCATCTACATACCCAGAGCATGCCTTCTCTTCTGAGAACTCAGTAAGTTGTAGATGTAATTTTAGCCCCCCTTCCCCCCATTTGTCAGATTAAACCATGATTGCACAGGGCTGGATCTTCCTATCACACTCACTATAATCAGAGCTCTTGCCCAGTATCAAGTACCAAGGATCAGTTTAAGAGCACAAGCAATTTCAAAGCCCAGATGAAGTAGAGAAGAGTCCAGGACTGCTGACCCCAGGTTCTTCTTGGATGCCTCAGTTCATGGCCTGGTCCTAGAGGAACACACACATGTTTTCTAAGAGATATGTGCAGCCACACTGCTTACACCATCATGGGCTAGCTACATTGCTATGCTCTGATAGTCATGACTTAGGTGTTATTTTCCTGGAAGCTCTTTCTAATACATCCATAGATCCCAGGACGTGCTTACCAGAATCAGCCATACAAGCCAGGTACAGTCTGTCCTCGGCACTAGCAGTAACCAGAAGTTCTGAATTCACCTGGAGGTCTGGCTGGATCTGTCTCATAAGGAAGAGAAGAGCATCCAAGCCTGCTGCAAAATGTCCCCTCCCTTTGTCCTACTTCATTATACTTCTGCTTTTATCAGTCAGTAATTCAACCTCATTATTGATATGTCTAGTTATTAGGCTGTAGTTAGATAAATGGGAGAATTCTAGTGCCTTGAATGTCATTTTAATGCAGAATGATAGGTCTTAAAATTACCTACTGATATTATCAAGTAACATATCTGTGTTGTATAAAGATCTAAAATTCCATTTGTGCTGAATTATTTAAGTGAAAGAATATGAGTATTATAAAGCCCATCCTATGGGTTATAAAACATTACCAAATTGCTTAGAACAAAATGCTAAGGACAAGGGAGTCAGCTTATTTTTGCTCAGTGATGTTTTAATCAGCTTTCAGTGAGTGACTTTTCTCTGTGATAATGTTTATCTTAACTAACGCTTGCTTATATTAACTTATTAGCCTTATTTACATTGACCGCTGCGTCTTCATTTATTGTCTTGATTGAGTGAAATTTCTCTCCTGAGATTTGTAAGAAATAGCTGATAGACTATATATAAAGGTGCAGAAAGTTTGTATACCTCAGACACCTGTGTGGCTGGACGTACATCTTGTCATGGCGACATGGAGACACTGAGCTCCAAGACAACCCTGGCCCAGCCACCAACTGGGCATCACTGGTTCCACTTCCTTTATGTCCCGGGTGTCACCATCCAGATGTGAACCTCTGTATCTTCTCCTCTGTCTCACTAGGGAGGACGAGCATGCCCTTATCCAACAGTACTGCCAGACACTGGGTGGGGAGTCTCCCGTCAGCCAGCCCCAGAGCCCAGCCCAGATCCTGAAGTCTGTCGAAAGAGAAGAACGTGGAGAACTGGAAAGGATTATTGCTGACCTGGAGGAAGAGCAAAGGTGTGCTAGACCTGGAAGCAGGGGGAAAAAAAAAATTACCCATGCTTTTATGTGAAGGTCACCATAGCCCCATCCATCTTTTTTTTTTTAATACTAATTAACACACCAGTATGTTTGCTGCAGACCCAGCAGCATTTGGGGCTATGTTGATGATGCCTGTTGCTCTTCCTTGAACCCACAGATTTCCTTCCTGCTTGCTCATCTTATGGCTAGTGTGTATTTGCCATGAGAAGAAATGGTACCACAGGCTAAATTTGGAGTTCATAAAGAGTCTGGGAAGGAAGACAGTACACACAGTGGCAATTCCATCTGTGCCTTTTCTGTATTAGGAATCTCCAGGTGGAATACGAGCAGCTCAAGGAGCAGCATCTGCGAAGGGGGCTGCCTGTCGGTTCCCCTCCCGACTCCATTGTATCTCCTCACCACACATCTGAAGATTCCGAGCTCATCGCGGAAGCCAAACTCCTTCGGCAGCACAAAGGCCGGCTGGAGGCCAGGATGCAGATTTTAGAAGATCACAACAAACAGCTGGAGTCTCAGCTGCACCGCCTTCGCCAGCTGCTGGAGCAGGTAGGAGGTGCAGAATCCAGCACACCCCACCTCTGCAAGGTCCCTGTCCATCTCCCAGAGACCGGGAATTAGTTGACGTCGAGAGGTCTACCTTCAGTTTCTCACCTCGATAGCTAATTTAATTTAGACTGGCTTAGATGTCTCCTGTCACAAGTATGCACAAAATCCTCCCTGCCATCAAAACGTATTTTCCCAGTGGACAGTAGAATTTCTTTAGCACTGTAGTCTACCTCAGCTTGGAATAGTTTGTAAGAAAAGTTCCTGCGACATCCATCTGCCTGGATTGCGTAAGAGAACCATCTGTGAAAATTACAAGACAGCAAGAAACCTAAAAATTTCATTCTTCCCAGTGACCTAGAACTGCACACTCCAAAATTACTGTTTCCTATTTTCATGAAAGTAACAGATGGTTATTAATTTGCTACTATTATTTCCTAACCTGGGACTGTGTTTTATGGCATTTGTTTGCAAACTTCTTTGACAATAAGTACAGTTTACCTTGTGATGAGAATACACACATGTGATGAATGCTAAATACACTTTCTTTTATAGAGAAGTGTCAGTTCTTACTTTCGATTCTTTCCTCGTCTTTCTTTCCTTTCACCTCCATTCCTGTGGTTTTTCTTCCTTCCTTCCTACTTCCTCGCTTTCCTAAATTTTTTCTTCCCTCTTTTTATTTCCCCTTAATGCTGAAGATTTCAAAATGCTTAGTGAGTGTAATTTTGGGGGGGAAAAAGACATTCTGTGGTTTGTAAAGGAAGCTTCAGGTACAGTTTCTGCCTTTCTGGTGCCTGTGATCTTTTCAGAGACCAAATAGGACAGATAGTAGCATGCATAAAGGCATAGCTGTAGGGCCAGGCATGATGATGAATGCCTATAATCTCAGCTATTTAGGAGGTATAGGAAGGAGGATCACAGTCCGAGGTTAGCCTGGGCAAAAGCACAAGACCCTATTTGAAAAAAAAAAAAAAAACCACTAAAAGCAAAGGCACTGAGGTGTGGTCTAAGTGATTTTCTTTGTAAACCTGAGGCCCCAGTACCACCCAAAAGGAAAGGATGGAACTATCCAATTGAACACTTGATGCAGAGAGTTAGGCATTTAGCCCTAAAGAGTACAACCAACAAAGAAGAAACCTTTGTAGCCGGAACATGCAGGGCAAAATCCTACTTGAAGAATTCCGAACAGCAAAATTCAAGTTATCATTTGTTTTGTTTTTTTTTTCTCTCGTGTATTTGAGGAGGTGCTTGGCAGTGTGATAGGAATACTTTCCTTCAGAAATCATCGATGAATCAAAGCTGAAGCAATGATTTGCAGCAATTTTTGAAAACCATCTTGTCACTGTGGCTATTGGTTTTTTTTAATTCATCAGACTCATTCCAAACATTCTAATCTCTGCACTATCAACAGTCATGGACCATCCATCTCTCCCTATAGTTTGGCCATGAGCTTTGCTTGCTATCATTGCTTCCAAAATTGTGTGACACTGAACGTTTGCTTCAGGGCTTCCAAATTTGGAAACTTTTAGAAAATAAAGAATGACCTGGCTTTCTGTTCAACCTTAGAATATTCGATTCTTTTCTCAGTGCCAGTCATCTAGGTTGCAAGAATTACACTGTTTGTACAATGAACTTGAAGTTTCTGAGGGATGTATGGATAAGGGAGCAGTTTTTTTGTATAATCTCTTCTTTAGCATATGAAGTGCTTGCTAGCCTCTTAGTGTGTGATTGACTCATTGCAGAAGAACACTACACCTGAATTTTCTACTGTGATGCTCTTAGGTGGGCTGAAGACTCCTTGACTTCCCCTTCCCTCCACTCACCCTGCTAGATAGAGCTGCCTAATGGCTCTCTTGCCTTTGGAATTGCACTGTAATACTTTTGGAGATAGCTTCTATCTAAATGGCTCCAGTATCCCCAGCCTGGAGCTCTTATCTCTTCTTAACCATTAAGTGTGAGTGCCAGAAGTAGATGGAAAATTTAACTCTGATAGTATAAACAGGAAAAGCTCCTAGACTTCAACTAATACAGATTTAATGGTGGGAAAACAACAACAACAACTCTGCATCCAAGAATTATAACTTCTGCATCCTCAATAGAATCCATCAGACTTGATCATTTGACCATATATTTGTCAACTTATCCATCACCATTGCAAAGATTGTACAGGAGTGCATTTCCAGTGGGGACTAGCTATCAGACTGCAGGTCATTTTAGAAAAAAACTCATCTATCACTCGCACCACAAAATCTTGTGACACTGGCACTATTATTACCAAGCTTATTTAGTAAAGAGAGAATCGGTGTGACAAAAGGTTGTCTCATTTTACCTAGACTTACATTGCTTATGAGTGGCAGAGTTGGAATTTGTATTCAAGCCACTTAATCCAAAGTCATGCTCTTCACCAAGAGTGGGGAAGGCAATATGGCCTTCCAATCTGAGGTAATTTTTGAGTTTGGATTAATTTCCCACCATGGAAGCCCAGTTCTAATACTTGAGAGATGAATGTAATACATCACTAAATTCACTTGATTGATAAAGTGACAGAAAATGTAAGGGGTGAAGAATGACAAATCCTGCTACATAGGACCCTGAGTGATTTCAAGTGCAGAAGAGAGAGATGGGGCCCCTTGGTATGCTAGGGAATTATCTTCCCACCCAAGTAATGCTGAAATGTGTTTAAAATGGCCTGAAGGCAAACAACTGTGTTGGATTTAATTATGCGTGGTGAGGGAGGGGCAGTCTGAAAGGAACTGTTTTCCCAAGGATTAGGTGAATCCTTGCTCTGCTTTAATTTCTGCCTGTGATTTCAGCCTGAATCCGATTCCCGAATCAATGGCGTCTCCCCGTGGGCTTCCCCCCAGCATTCTGCACTGAGCTATTCGCTTGACCCGGACCCAGGTCCACAGTTCCACCAGGCAGGTCAGTGGACTCTAGACATAACCATAATGCCCAGGCTGCAGAGCCATTTTAACCATATCCAAAAAGCAAACATTTTAGCTGCACCGTGCTTGCTTCTGTCATGTGTAGGAGTAGATGAAATCTTGGTGAAAGTTGAAATTAAACAAAAAAAATGTTCTTTCCTTTTTGAAATGAGCAAGAAATTGCTTATGTGCCTTGAGATGGATTCAATTTTTTTGACAACGAAGCATAATAGGCCTCTAAAATTTTCATATTGGTAACATGGTAAGAGCCTAAACCTAAAGACCATTATCATAAGCGTGATAGTTTTTCTCAGCCCTGGATTAGAAAAGCATGCATCTACATTATCCATCCTAGGCCTGGTGGACATCACCCTGCCATCTGCTTCAAGGCAGAAGCGTTACTCAGACCCTCACTGGTCCTGGGAGCGGGGGGGGGGGGGGGGGGGGGGGATGGGACATGTCACTGATGCTAGGCAATCAGGAATGGCATTTCAAGTCCTGACCACATTCTGTAATCAAATTCATGTATTTGTCTTGTAGGATATCTTTTGGTACACAGAGAAAAAATTAAAATATTAGGAACAGATAACTATTGGATGGACAGAGCAAAGTGCTTCCCTAGCAAGTGCAGTGTCCTGGGTTCCATCTCCAGTGGCAAAAAATGAAAAGATCCCCCCCCCCAAAAAAAGTAAAAGATAACTATTGGTACTTTTCATTGCAGAATATAAAAACACATCAGAGTATCTTTTATGTACCTTTGCATCAGAATATCTCATAGCAAACCTTTGCTTTGGGGACAGTATGTACTTGCCAATGTTGAAAATTCCCCCAAAAAAACAAAATTGGTAGAATATAATTTTGTGTATGAAAAACACCTTTCAATCCAAAATAGATTTCCAGTGCACCAGTGGTGCATAGCAATAATCCTAGCCACTTGGGAGGATGTGATCTGATTTTTCTGGCCAGCCTGGACAGATAAATCCAAGGAACTCTTATCTCTAATTCATTAGCAAAAAGGACAGAAGTAAAGATGTGGCTCAAATATAGAGTGCTAGCTTTGAGCAGAAAAACTTAAGTGAGAACATAAGGTCCTGAGTTCAAGTCCCAGTACCAGAACAACACTACCAACAAAAAATTAGATTTACAGCTGAGACACTGAAAGCAACTGACTGCATCACTTGTTTTCCAGTTTTATATTTCCCAATGGTGCAAAGATTTTTCTGCACAAATATCCAATTTATTTTTTAAAAGAGGTGATCAGGGGCTGGGAAGGTGGCTCAATGGTAGAGCGCTTGCCTTGCATGCATGAGGCCCTGGGTTCGATTCCTCAACACCACATAAGCAAAAAGAAAAAAGCCAGAAGTGGCACTGTGGCTCAAGTGGTAGAGCGCTAGCTTTGAGCTGAAGAGCTGAGGGACAGCGCCCAGGCCCAGAGTTCAGGCCCCATGACCGGACCCCAAAAAAAGAAGAGGTGATCAGGGCTGGAGATGGAGCCTAATAGTAGGTCTATCTTGCCAACAAATGAATGCACAAATAATTTTGATATTTTCCCTGAAATTTTTCTTTCCAAATGAGAGCTCATGGATTCACTGATACTTTGAGCTTGATTATAGTATTTGTACCTGAAGGAAGGTTTTAGCAGAAGGCCGGCATTCATATATCTGCTCTTTTCTGTACTATCACCACTGCAGAGGATCTGCTGGCCCCACCTCGTGACACCAGCACGGACCTCACCGAGGTCATGGAGCAGATCAACAACACATTTCCATCTTGCTGCGGTGAGTAGGCCAGTGCCCTGCCTTTTCCTGCCCTCATCCCCCCACTGCTAGGGAGACGGCGCTTCCGCTCCTGGAGATTTGTAGTGCACCTTAGGTGTGACAGTGAAGGCATATACACTGATGTCTGGTTTTAAGAACAAATTGTTCTCTTCAGTGCAGGCTATCATAATAAACTTCCATTATATTGAAGAAGAGCTTTTAGTGGGAAAGGCATGAAAATAGCCTTTCTAATGTACTTCTCTCTCTTCAGACATTGTTGTTGGATACGATACAAAAAGAGATTTTGTTCAGACTTCTTTCTTTTTGTTGGCTGGTTTTTCTCATGGAATAAAATAATCCTTGTATAAGAGCCAAATAATTTAAGGCATCACAGATTATGACTCTGTGAACTTTCCATAGGAACAACCAAGAACCAGAAAATTGCCAAGTAAACAGTCGAGATCCCAAAGGAAATTATATAATGATTCTAATTTATTGATTTTTGTTTTCCAAATCGTATGTGTTTGGCATCTTGCCATGCTGTGCTTTCTGCTGGGCTCTCACCTGAGAGACCTCTGTGGTTTTAAACAGCAGTAGTCTCTCTCAGAGTCCGTATATATCGAGAGAGAGATGCAGGACTTTTATTTAAAATAGTCTTTTGAGAGCCGTGTCCTCTTTGATTGCAAAGTATACAGTCACTGAACTATGAGAGAGAGACAGAGAGACAGAGCCAGAGAGAGAGAGAGAGGAAGAGAGGGAGAGAGTGTTGATACTGGGGCTTGAACTCAAGGCTTTGTACTCTCCCTTAGCTTTTTCACTCAAGGCTGATACTCTACCACTTGCCCAGGCTGGCTTTGAAGCAAGATCATTAGACTCCCCTATCTGGATGCCAATGATTCATGACTATAATCCTAGCTAAACTAAGATTTTAAATAAACTATGACCTCTTATTTTACCCTTTGCTGTCATTTCTTCAGATAAAAGCCTTCTTAAATGAGGAAAAAGGTACTGTCAATTATCAATAATATAAATAAATAATATGTACTGATTTCATTACAATTTTTTCCTTCATTTTATACCACTCTGTAGTTTAAGAAAGGTGGGCATCCTTAACAGGGTGCAGAAACAAATATTTAAATATATTCTTCTTGTACATTATAAATATGTATGAAAATGGCATAATGAGCTCCCTTTTCCTCCCCAAAAATACTGTAGGAGGAGTGGGGGGGGGTTGAAAGAGTAATATAGATGGAGTAAGTCTGATCAAAGCAGATTCTATGCATGTTGTGACTATCACAATGGAGAGAATTTGGCAATTAATTTATGCTAATTAAAATTAAAAAATAAAGCTGAGCGCCAAAGGCTCATGATTCAAAGCTAGCCCAGGCTTCTTATCTCAATTAACTACCAAAAAGGCAGACATAGAGCTATGACTCCAGTGCTAGAGCTCTGGCCTTGAGCAAAAAAACAACAACAACAACAACAACAACAACTCAGTGACAGCACCCTGGCCCTGAGTTCAACCCTAATACCAGCACACACACATACACACAGAGAAAAGAAAAAAGTAAAATAAAATATACTCTGAATTTTCAAGAATATTACCCTAAAGGTTATACTACATTTTATTAATATATACGTATATATCTGCATTGAAGGGTTTTATTTGTAATTCTAATATTCAGCTTCTCAGAGTTTTCAGGATCACATTTACATTATGTCAGTTCTCACATTTACTGCTCACAAAGTGTATACATGCAAGCCCATGCACATTCACAAAGTGTATACATGCAAATGCATGCACACTCACAAAGTGTATACATGCAAGCGCATGTACACTTATACTTCAGACTCTGTAGTGTCCAAAAGCTGAAGTGTCAGTGTCCACTTACCATTGTATTTTTGCTTATTGGCCAGGCTGCATGTAGCCACTGTAATAGATAAATTTAATCTGTTGCATGAGTTCTCTACTCAAGGTTGAACTGTATTTGAAAAGCTTTGGCTCTGAGTTATGTTTTAGTTAGTAACTACATGAAAATAAGCCAGAATTTCAAGTTCAGTTTCAAGATTATTACTTTGTAGTATAGCTCATACCAAATTTATAATTACAGAACAAATTCTATTCAATTAAATAATGTTTACCAAATTTTAGTTAATTGTTAGAGTGGTCATTTTTCAGTTTAAAAATCGGTTTTCAGTAATAGCCAATTTGTGTATAAATAATGTGCTTTGTATTGAAAATAAAGTATAATTTCCAAATTAAGAATTGTATACTACAATGGTGTTCAAAAAAACAGCCACCTAGCACCACAGTTTGAACTTAGGACTTCACGTTTACTTGACTTGCTCACTCAGCTGGTGTTCTACTACTTGAGCCACATCTCCAACCCAGTTTTTCTCCTAACACCTATTATTCTGGAGAGATTGAATTTAACAAACTTTTCAGCCTGCTTGGCTTTTAACCCAAATCCTAAGATCTTAGCTCCCCATTGTCTAAATTAAGGTACAAGCCACTGGCACTCAGCTTACAACATTTTTTTTTTGAAAGTTATAGGAAAGTTTATTAGGAAATAAATTTGGAAGAGAAAGAAATTACATGGCATAAATAGGCCACAGAAAAACAATGTCCTAGTTCACCTTCAGCCATACTCCAGGAAGACATCGCATTAGGTCTAAGTAGAGTAGTTAGTGGCAGGGGACAAAGATATGCATAGCTTAAAGGTCCAGGTTATAGATGTGGCCTGACTGGTCATTATCACAGTTCTGATTCTTCTGGGTTTTGAAGATGTTGTTATTGCTGTCAGCAATTGAGGGAGCAATCTGGTTCCCATGAAATCATTTTTCTGGCTCCAAGGTACAGCCTATCATTATGCTACTTATCCTCATTTGGGGGCTGTGCTGTTCCTTAGGGTTACTTTTAGTGCTTGCCACAAAGAGGTTAGATATCAATCTAGTCTTGTCTGGCATTCAAAGTAAAAAATACTCTTAAATCTTTCTCAAGGTATAAGCTGATGTGTGTATTTTGCAAAGGACTGATCCATATGCCTTGTTTAAAACAAAACAAATAAAATTAATCATCCTAGTTGTAAAGGAAAATTGAGTCTTTAGAGGTAAATGTGTTTATCTCATGTTATGACCCTCCTTTTAAAGTTAGCATTGTTTGAAAATATCATCAACTGGCTGTTTATGGTCACAGGGTTCTTGAGCTGTGTTTATCTTTCAGGGCTTGTACATCACAGAGGCTAAACCTCTTCTGTGTCATTCTCAGTCATGGTAGATTAATCTGTCCAATTCAGTAATTCATGGAGGCCTGAGATTCCTTCACGGGAGGCTGCCTCCATGTTCTCCTACATTTGGTCATCCACAGATATTTATAATACTTGTACATTTCTCTGAATGAGCATTACTAGTTATGTGTTCTTTTGAATAATTTAAATATCTTTCTTGTGAGAAATGATGAATAGTATCTGTTAGAATTCTGTGAATTTTATATATTGAGTGGATGGATGGATGGATGGATGGATGGATGGATGGATGGATGGATGGATGGATAGATGGACATACGTTTTTGTTTTGGCTTCTGAATGTCACATCATTAATTTGAGTTCAGTTTGTTCTTGGTTCTGGTTTTTTTTTAAGAAAAAGGAAGGAAAAGAAGAGAGTAAAAGGCTTAAAGGACTTATTAACAAGACTGATATTTAATTCTGCCTACTGTAATTAAATACTTTGAAAAAGTGATACAGAATCAGTCAGTATGTGGCATAGATGATGCCTAGTTCATCATAGATGGAAGGAATAGATGAGTGAATGGTTACATTTCTGACTGGCAAGGTTTCATTATTTAGGTTTTTAGAGCTAGTTCTCAGAAGGTTTCCTTTACTTAGTGCTCCTTGTAGGTTGCTCTGCTAGCAAATATTTGAATAAGGCTTCACAAATCCCAAAGAATACTGGCCACCTTTGGAGGATTTACCTACACAAATCAGATTGGCACCCTCCCAAGGGCAAACCAGTCTCTCAATCCCCTATGACTAATGAGAACTTTAAAATTGCTTGTCATCAGCATAAGATGAATTGATCTGCATGTTAATCTTGACTTTTGATCCTTTGTGGATTAAAAATTAGCATGGCCACAAATTAATTTCCACTCCTGGCAGTCTTGGAATTAAAATGAAACTCTGCAACTATAAATCCTAATTGCACAAATCGCTTATTTTAACATGACACTTTTTAACTATATCTCATAGTATTGAATGTAACACCTCAGAAATCCAGGGTCTGGGTTAATATCCTACTTAGTCTTACAGTATCTTTGAATGAGGACCTTTTAAAATCTGTTAAAGTGATATTGAGCTTCAGAACAGTCAGGCATTGACCTCTTTTCCCGTGAAAGAATTAAAAAGGGGCATTTAAGTGTCCTGTCAATTAACCAATGTGTATACCAAATATCCACTGGCTACCGTATCCATTTTCTTTTCAGTATGATATATTTTGACACTTTTTTCCTGTTAATATTCTTTAAATATACGGGATACTGCTAGTAAGCTAAGTAATTGTTGCCAACAGACCAAGCAAGTGCTTTTAAAATTAACTTGCCAGTATATTCCTACTGTGAAAAGTCTATGTTTGTTAAGCTTGAAGTGACATTAATCGAAAATCTAAAACCTTCAAAAATGCAGTTGCTTTCTAATTTTTCTCTTAAAGTGTATTTGTAAGATGTGTCTAGGAGGGTACCTGTAGCTTTTTATTTGGTGAAAAGCTCTCGGGTTAAAAGTACTGATTTGGAGTAAAATTGGTTAGACTTCTGTCTTGGGTTTGACTATTTGTTTTATTTCATTATTACTAGAAAAGTGTTACTGTCTCTTATAGATAAAGTATGTAAACATAGCACGTACATACTTAGTAATCATTTAGGTCAGATATCCCTGGGGTATAGCTCATATCCTAATGGAAGTTCCCTGGTTTTTCTTTGATGCCTAATACATACATAGGTATCTGATAAGACTGGGCTTGAATTAGATTCTTCTCCCAGATGCTTTTCCTCCAGGCCTCACACAGATGCCAGTCACTGGTGACTTTCCCCTTCAGTGTAGAATAATTGGGAGATGGAAGAAGCGCAATGTGCATTAGAGACAGCCCTGAATGTGACTAGGAACAGGCGCTGCCAATCCTGAGGAGTGTAGCTCCTCCTTCCTCCTCCTGAAAGCAGAGAGACCTTGGAGAAGAAAGCCACCAAGCCACCAGATGAGATCAGCAACGTGATGATGGGGCCTCCCAAACAAGAAAGAAATGGAACTATTTGGTTATGACAGTATCTCCTCCGGTGGGCACAGCCAAACAGCATTATTAACCCCAGCATTCAGAAGGCTGCTGAGCAGGCATGCAGCTATCAACTGTTGGCATGAACAGAATTTGCACAGATAATTTCCTGTGTGACATGATTGAAATAGGGAATTTGGAAGACTTACCTTTTGTTTTGTAGTAAAACCAAGTCTTTCCTGAACGCTTTAGTGCAGATTTTTTTAAAGAGCTGATACCTGTTTTGTATATTTTGGGTAGAATTGTTCTACTTTATGAGTTATAAGCTAATTGGGAAAATTAGCCTTTGTTTAAAAGCACTCAGCCTGGGGTTGAGGGAGTCAGGTTCGTATTTGGGGCTCACAACCATTTAAGAGCTGAGCTATTATGCCAGTCTGGGTGGTGCCTTGTACACATTTGCATTCAGGAAGGTGAGAAGCAACCATAGAGACTCTATTGATTGATTTCTTCTGTTTTCTCTTGCAGCAAATGTCCCCAGCAGGCCACAGGTAAGAGTTAATGGCTTGATTAGCTTCCAACCTGGAGTAAACAGATTAGCAACTATTGATTTTGTCTTACTTCATTTTCATGTAAATAAGTAAACTTACTTGACTTTGTGGTTCTGTTCCAGTTTGTCGGTGGCGGGGGAAGTGTGGGCTGGAAAGGGGTGGAGGAGACTTTGGGGAAAGAGTGGGACTCCCCAGAGGGCAAAGTAATTATTTGATTCTCTGTCCTGACATCAATATTACATAAATTATAAAGTCGCCTGGGGTAGACGTGGCCAGACACTCATTTCCCAAGTCTACTTATGGTGGCTAGCACAGAGCATTGTCTTAAAAAAACAGGGTCTTGCCAGGTACACGTGGCTTATGCCTGTAATCCTAGCTACTCAGGAGGCTGAGATCTGAGGATCACTGTTCAAGGCAGACAGGAAAGCCTGTGCAACTCTTATCTCCAATTAACCACCAGAAAACGGGAAGTGGCACTGTGGCTGAAGTGGTAGAATGCTAGCCTTGAGCTGAAGAGCTGAGGGACAGTGCCCAGGCCCAGAGTTCCATTAAATGTCCATTCAATTTTTAGAGATCTGTTGGTAGCTCTGTCTTTAAGCCTTCCGCTGTTTCCTTCCCAAGAACGTTGGTGTTGATGTGCTAAGTTGGAGAACTTTTTTTTTTCATGCATTTGTTTATTACTCTCTTTTCAGTGAGTCTTAGGATTTGATTTCCTTTTTGGCCACCAAAGACAGCTAAGAGACAAGGGTGTGGGAGGCAGACTTGATATAGAGGGAAAGCTGGATGCCTTCTCTTTGCTTCTGTTGCCCTAGTGAATTGAAAGCAAGATCTTTAGAAGGAAGTGAGGTAAAACAGAAGGAGAGCTAAGGGGGATGTGCTTGGAGATCAGAAAAGCACGTAGTCCCCCAAATAAACTGTCCAGCAATCAATATGAAGACTACTACGTTTTAAAAAGTTGAAGTTGTGGTTTAAGCAACAAAAGTACAGCAATTCGAAAGAAAAGACAAAGAAACCATTGTAACGATAGAACCAGAACCTTGTCATATCTGATATAGGAAGTGGTTGGGAGGGAGGGGGGAAACAGTACTGTCTGGTTTTAAAGGATGAATAAAGCTACCATTCTAGCAGAAGAGAACAGAAAGTTCAAATGTGGTTGTCAGAATGTGGGATGGTTCGTACTGAAATGTTAGAGGAATTTTAAGTGCTGGCCTGTTTTGCACCTTCAAATTAACAACTAAGAAGTTCAAGGACAGAATCAAGAGAGAAAAGCAGCTCAAAGAAACTGGGGACCAGAGTGTGAGTCAAATCATCTGCGTGAGTGCTGAAATCACTTAAAAATTGCTTTGAAGTGGGGGACATTAACACTTTTTCACCCCAAGAAGTAAACCTCAGCACCCTTTCGGAGGCCTACGAGGAGACTCATAAGTACCTGATGCCTGAGGGGAAAGATTTCGAGTAGTTTGAGTTCAGTGGTCCCAAGATGTTGGCAAGGCTGTAGAAATGGAGGCCCCAGGAAAGAAAGCTAGAATTTTCTTATCAGTCCCCAGATACCGTATAGATACTGAAGATTTAGACCAGAAAGCAATCCAAGACCTTCTCAGGTTTACTGGATGTTAGGTTTTAATACAGTTAATTGATTTAAAATTTTAACAAACATCTGCCTCCTTATAGAAAAGGCCTCCTCCATTTTGAACTAGCTGTGTCAAATTCATAACAAGTATATGTTTTACCCAGTTAGTTTTACTCATGTTTGATTTGCTTGCTCTTACGTATTTGGGGAAATTACTGTTACTAATTACAAATCCCTTTAGCCTTTAGCCTCTATTTAAATCTGCTATCTGCTATCGTTATGCCTCCGAAGTACCTCAGCTTGACTGGTAGGCCCCGGTCCCATGTAAGCCAGGACTGGGAGTGTGTCGTAGAGATAGCTTTCATACCTGCTTTGCCAGGAAGGCCTCATCTCAGTGCCCTGTTGCCAACACATGCCTGGAACCCACTGAGTCTGCTATCAATGTGGGATGAATTATTTTTACTCCTTCCAACATGGCAGTGATGTTTTCAAAAATACAGACATGACTTAATAGAAAATAGACTCTTCAGTACACGTCAAATGAGTTTGCTGCTTCTCGTACAACTGAGAGAAGAGGAACACCTGGGGAAGATTTTCCAGAAACTTCTTTAGAGTGTAGTTCTCTCTCAGGATAGACCCTCATGTCAGTGTCCTCCATAAAATAAAGAGGTGTCTTTCCTAGGAGACCAGAGAGATCCCTTATAATTCAAAGGGAATGGGCCCATTCAGATGTTGTTAATCTCACAGCGATTTAAAAGTAAATAATTCTGAATACAAAATCCTTAAGCCCAACATATCTTAGAAAGATGAATGTCACTCCCTTGAGCATGTACTGGATTTCAATCCTCTAGCCTGAGATACTGAAGTTTAACAGGCACTTCTGCACATCCTTTGATTATCATTCCTGGCTTCTTTTCCTTCTGTCTGGGCCCTACTCTGTGGCTGAGAGGTTAAGATTTATTTCCAGGGTGCCCCCTGTACAAGGGACCTCTTACAGTCTTCCAGACAGGAACAGAGATGCCTTGTTTTTTGTTTTTTGTTTTTAATTAACCTCAACACTCATCATCAGTCCCTCCCACAAACAAAGCGAATTTTCTCCATTTCAGTTCTGTTTCTAGCCTGGCCAAGATAAAGACATTCACTCTAACTTCTTTGTTTACTCTGGTAACAAAAAACTGAGTAGGTGACTTCCAGGGGAGACTTAAGGACCTCATCCCACGGAGCAAAAGCCACGTGACTATTATTTCCTTTCGAGCACGCAAAATAAGGATTTGCTAGTTCTGAAAGAAGTATTGCTATGTCCTAGAAGCGCTGACCTCTTTGCAACACTGTCTTCTGCAAACGTTTTTTCTGACAGAATGCTTTCCTCTTTTCCTAGGCAATGTGAAGCATTCATCTAGCCAAACATTTCCCGACTCAGTATTGCCCGTTTCTGCAAATGCCAATTCCAAGTTCCATTAAATCCAAGGCGCCATGGCTCTTTGACATGTGCTGTTGACTGTGTGTTCTACCAAGGGAGTAAAACACTGACTATCCAAAGAGAAAAGGATATTTTGTTTTTATAATAACCGCATTTTATTGTTTTCTTCTTCCCTTTCTATGCAACTGTAAATTAATGAACAGAGAGGTATTTGGTAATGGTATTTGTCACTGATTTGTATAAAGTATACAAGCATTGGGAAAGTGGGTGGGGGCTTTCTAATATGACACTGTCTTTTTAATAACCGTGACAAAAATTGCATATACATTAGAAGACCATCTTACATTTTTACATTCCTTCTGCTGTTCATATTAACCTTGTACAATAACTTCATTTATTTTGTTACATCCCCATTACATTTTAGTTATTTATCAGTTCACCAACCACATGACCAAGTAGATTCTGTGTATTTGTTATTTGTTTCTATGATTTGGCCAAATTAATAAGTTCATGTATTTGAATCAAATATTATATATATATATATATAATATTGATTAATTGACAACTCTAAGTATGCAGTTTAACTTTATGGAACATTATACACTTAGTTCATTAGTCACCACTTGGGATCCACAAAAAAATCCTGTGGGCCTAAATGGCATGTCTAGTGGGATTTTTTTTTCCTGCTTTTTTATCCTTTTTTTCTATGACTTTATTTATTTCCTATCCTAATCTATATGAGAGGGAAGACTGCATTAGAAATCATTTCTCTAGGATCATTTTACCAAAGGTTGCCTATGTAAGCATATTTTCATTTTGACATAGAAACAAAACTTGATTCAACCTTCCAGGGCCACAGGCCTTGAATTTCATCATTAAATACACAGCAGACCTTTTAACAATTGTGTGAGCAGAGCACAAGAGAACTAAAGATATATTTTCAAGTCCTTTATGATTCTTGAAACTCGTAGTTGCTTTCCTTATGAAAGCAAACCCAAATTTATGTCTCTGCGTCTCATTTTACCTTTTGGGTAAATGGACGAGTTGTCCTTTTAACTTTCAGTAGATTAAGACATTTAGGAAGGATTTTTTTTTAAGAGCTTTTGTCATTGCTTCTACAGAAAAATGGGAGTTTGTGCTTAGATGATTGTACCCTGCCTCTACCTTTGAGTACATTCAGTTATGGTTATTGATTCCATTTTAAAAAAAATTAACACTTAGTTACATTATTATAATTTCTTTAATTACCAAACATAAAGAAACCAAAAAGAAAAAAGAAAATAATATGTTTTGCTTCAAGCATATTGTGCTTTTTAAACATCAGAACATCTTCGCTTTGAGCTCTCTTACACTGGAATGTGCCAGGAGAGGCTGAAAGTTAGAAAGTGCTATTCTTTTAGGATAGGCTGGGTGGGTTGGGGGGCAGGGGTGTCTATTTGCAGCATAGATATTTTGAGAAGAAGAAAACTGTTTTATATAAGAGGAAAGCCATGACCACCTTTCTACCTCAGATCCATCTTTCATTGTGTTGGAAATAGCTTTATGTCGCTGCAGTCTGTAAAGTGTAGAGCTTTTATCAGGCCATATCATACCCAAGAAAGTACCTATTTAAAGAAAATGATTCCTTGAATTCAGAGCTCCAAGTTGTAAATTTGGTGTCTTCCTTGTTCTTATTTTGAGAAGTCATATAGTCATTGTTTTCTGCCTGTATTTGTATGCAGAATGTTCTCTATCTGCTATTTCAGAAAACCTGCAGTAAAACACTACATTGTAACCTAAATAACAGTTTAAAAAAGACATACATTGCAGTAACAACAATGGGAAATAAGTATATTGTTCTTTTGAAATATGTGATAAAGAACTAATCGTAAACTTATCATCTAACCTGGTTACATGCTGTATTTTCATCCCGAATAAAAGTAATTTTAACACAAAATGATTTTGGTGTTCTTAGCTATGTTTACTGATAGAATTTGTCTTTGAATATACATTGATGAAAATGAAGTAGAGGGCTGGGAAGGTGGCTCAGCAGTAGAGCGCTTGCCTTGCATGCATAAGGCCCTCGGTTCGATTCCTCAGCACCACATAATCAGCAAAAGTTGGAAGTGGGGCTGAGACTCAAGTGGTAGAGCACTGGTGTACAGATGAAGAGCTGGGTGACAGCACCCAGGCCCTGAGTTCAAACCCCACAACCGACAAAAAAAAAAGAAAGAAAATGAAATAGTCTACCCTGACACTTCTACATCGTTTCTAGAAATTTCTTTCATATATACCAAACTACTCTCCTTTGCCCTCATTATCTCTTTCTCTTCTCTCTTACACACAGGTAAAATTTATATAATTTTCACTTTCATTACAGATTGAAAGCTTATTAATAGAGAAGAATGTCAAATGTCAAAAATATATACATAAAGCCTATTAAGCCTTCATTTATAATGCTAGATATTCTTGGAATTTAGTTGATTATGCTTTCAAATCTACTTTTACCCTTAAGCTCTAAACTCCTGTGTTTTTATTCCTGTCCTGGATTTTAAACACTCAGGTATCAGATTTGATCAACCTCTGCTGCTGCTCTATGGGAAATAATGTTAAGAATCAATGTTGGGCTGGGAAGGTGGCTCAGTGGTAGAGTGCTTGCCTTGCATGAGGCCCTGGGTTCGATTCCTCAGCACCACATAAGCAAAAAGAAAAAAGCCGGAAGTGGTACTGTGGCTCAGGTGGTACAGTGCTAGCCTTGAGCTGAAGAGCTGAGGGACAGTGCCCAGGCCCAGAGTTCAGGACCCAAGACCAGCAAAAAAAAAAGTCAAAAAAGTCAATGTTACTCAATTCTAAAATTAAAATCTCTCTGTGGCGGAGAAAAATTCCCCAAAATATAATTTATTTTAAAAGATAACTGATATGTTCTTGTGAGCTAATATTTTATACAGCTTGTTAAAGCCAAAACAATATTGTATGTACTAAGAATGCCTAAGGAAACAGAGACACAAACACATTCCACTCAGAATCAGATTGCTAATACTGAAGAAATAATTTAATTTATATGTATATACTTATATATACATAACATATATATATATAAAGGTGTTTTTCTACTGCCAACAGGGAACAATGGTATTCTTGGAATGAAAAACATTTGTATTTCTGTGTTTTAGAAACAACTAGTACAACGCCACTGAGCAGTGCAGACCTCCAGCATCCAGCTGTTCTTCTTTTAAGGCCCTGTTTTCTCTATATTTTACAAGAACTAGGCATTTGTTCAGGAAAACATGAGATTATTCCTTTGAAATATAATTTCTGAAAAACTGAAGATAGGGGCTAGTACTATAGAATTTACTACTAGTAAGTTTACGTCTGATACTTAATAACCATAAAAGCTGTCCCCAAATCTGGTTGCTTAATTTATTTCCTCCTGGCTGTGTAAATATTGGCAGGACGCAATCACCTCAAGATTCCTCTATGAAACCCTTCTTGCCACGTTTGTAGAAACTAATAATCCTTGCCTTTAGTGAACACCTTCTGTGTTGGAAGACATTTTTACTAAGCTCATTCTCATGGCTCCAGTTCCCAAGCCCAGCTGGCCGACCATGATGGCTTCATTTCAGAGATGAGAGGCGCTGCTGGGTAAGGATGTCTGCTCAGCAGGCAGTGTGCAGAACTGGGTTCTGCGCTCATCTACGCCCTCGCTCCAGAGTTCAAGTCTCACCTTTACAAACAACCTTTCAGAAGGACAGGAGTTTCCCAGACAGTTCAACCAGCATCCATCAAGTTAAAACTCTGAGGCCAGGATATCATGAAGTGAAAGTTTGGGAGTAATAATTGTATAGCAGAACTGCAAACCTTCCTCCCTGTTCCTTACAAGATAGAGGACTAGAAAAGGCGGAATTGGGTATTTCTTGTGCCATCCCTAGCTCTCACTCCAGATATCCTGGGCATGGAGCCCTATCACTGTGCAGAGGGGAGAATTAATCATAGCCATCGCCTCTGGTTCAGTCAGGCTATCACCTACTTTGGTGCCAGGTTCCATTTTTCCTCTCTGATTATTCCATCTTATTACTGCTCTCCCTCTCTCCCCTATCCCCATACTCTAAAGCACACATTGCAATGTGTTGATGTTATGCTATTTTGTGTGCTCTTGAAAACCATGCTTCTGGCTTCTGTCCAACCGTGTGCATGCTGACCCCTCACAAGAATAAGACCCAAGAATAAGAACCCAAGTCCTACCTCGATCCCTTTCCAGGCAAAGGTATTTCCAAAGCCAGCTCTGCTCTGCAAGCCTTCCATTCAAACCGAGGGACAAAGCTGCCTATCTTGCCGCTCACAGGATAGCAAGAAACCAAACATCGTAACTGTGAACCATGGCTAAGTGTTACAAAACCGTTTTAAGCTATAAATTATTAAAGACTATAAAACTCAGCACCTATGTCTGGTTTTATCTCAGAATTTATCTGTGCCGTGAAACATGTGGGCTGTTTTGATATGACCACTTTCTCAAGCAGCCCGAAGTTACCCCCATGTAGGAAAATTCTGATCCAAAGACTTATTTGGGCCTCCCTTAAATTTTTGTTAATAACCCAATCCCCACTGTGACTGTACTTGGAGAAGCGAGTGGTAATAAGGAGCTGATAATGTTTCAATGAAGGCACAAGGCAGGACTCTAGTCCTACAGGACTAGCGTCCTTTGAGACGAGGAAGAGGTGCCAGAGCTCTTACCACATGAACACAAGGGAAGGTCATGTGAATCCTGTTCTATCTGATGGACACTGGGTAATTTATTTAGAGAAGAATTCTTTCACTGTTCTGGGGGTTGTTGAATTCAATGTCATGGTTCTGGAATCTCACAACTTTCATGCTGCGTTGTTTCATTGCAGAAGGGAAGAAGGTCAAAGGGCAAATACAGGTGCACAGAAAGTCATATAATGGGGAAGGATGAGGGAGATGGTTCTATAACCAATGAGGACTAAGCCACTTTTCAAAGTGACAACAGCCACTCATGACTGCCCTCACAATCGAGTTACCTCTAAAAGCCCCATTTCTGAACACCATAAAAATGG